ACTAACATTTGATCTACCGGCGGGGAGCTTTCTCTAAATAGTGTTTCGTAAGCTGTGGCAAGAAGTAAGGGGTGATTGGATCTTGGCGTGCCCCCCACTTGGCTGGTTCAAGTCGCGAACTTTGAATACCGCCGCACGTGCAGGTCGCCCACGCACTGTTATGGTGACGTAAGGACTAAATTGAAACGAAGATAAATGTGTATTACATAGAAGACTGCTATAATTTGTTATAAATATCAGTTTTTTCGTTGTGGGTGTCGCGCATACATGGTGTCAGTATTAATCTTGTCAGAAAGCATAAAACCACTGGGCCACCGGGAGTTTTGATCACGTTAGCGCCACGAGTGTCGTAAGTCTATGTTCAAGTACGGGAGTTTTGATCACGTTAGCGCTGCGAGTGTTGTAAGTCTATGTTCAAGTACGGGAGTTTTGATCACGTTAGCGCTGCGACTGTCGTAAGTCTATGTTCAAGTACGGGAGTTTTGATCACGTTAGCGCCACGAGTGTCGTAAGTCTATGTTCAAGTACGGGAGTTTTGATCACGTTAGCGCTGCGACTGTCGTAAGTCTATGTTCAAGTACGGGAGTTTTGATCACGTTAGCGCCACGAGTGTCGTAAGTCTATGTTCAAGTACGGGAGTTTTGATCACGTTAGCGCCACGAGTGTCGTAAGTCTATGTTCAAGTACGGGAGTTTTGATCACGTTAGCGCTGCGACTGTCGTAAGTCTATGTTCAAGTACGGGAGTTTTGATCACGTTAGCGCTGCGACTGTCGTAAGTCTATGTTCAAGTAGGGAGTGGGAAGGGAATTAAGGGGGGTTGAAAGTAGTTGGCTATGGTGTAAGGGGTTCTAATACTCCCATATAGATGAATACAGTGGGTGTGTGTTGGTGGGTAACATTATCTGCATGTCATACAGTCTGCCTCTCTATCACATACAGCATCAGGGTAACATTATCTGCATGTCATACAGTCTGCCTCTCTATCACATACAGCATCAGGGTAACATTATCTGCATGTCATACAGTCTGCCTCTCTATCACATACAGCATCAGGGTAACATTATCTGCATGTCATACAGTCTGCCTCTCTATCACATACAGCATCAGGGTAACATTATCTGCATGTCATACAGTCTGCCTCTCTATCACATAGAGACATAGGTACTACCATGACGAACAGCATACAGTTCACGTATTCCTTTTCAAAGAAATATCATGGCTATTCCATATTGCGTCGGGTGTTTAGAATCCCCAATGTCTGCGCCGCAACAACCGAACGCCTTCGAGCCATACATGACATGTAGTTTTTTTCGGCTACACTCATTAAAACCAGAGCGGCCACCAGTTCAGGCGCTGCCTGTCCAAACAACTCCGGTTGTGGAGTGTATGCAGCGGTGTACTAACACACGAAAGGCTCAGTCATGAATGATTTATTCAATGAGAAATGCCAAGAGACTATGAGTAATGCATTCAATTCAGTGAGACCCAGCAATCATTATCAATCATTTGGTGAATTCGTGAGAAATGTTTTATCAATCTAGTTAATGGCGTAGCACGAAGCATTGCGGGAATGCATCTATTGACAGACTGTGGTCTGTTTCCCTCCCCTACAGCAGGTCACGGTTACCGTTACAACTTCCCTAAATGCGCCCGCCTAGAACTCAAAATTAGCGATAACTGACGATATTCTACCTACAATCCAAATGATGTCACTCACAAAGACTATACCTCCACTACAATCTTACAGACTAAATCCCCGCTACAATCTCACAGACTATACTCCACTACAATCTCACTGACTATACCTCCACAACAATCTCACAGACTATACTCAACCTACACTCTCACAGACTATACTCAACCTACACTTTCACAGACTATACTCCCCAACAATCTAATAGACTATACTCCACCTACAATCTCACAGACTATACTCTACCTACAATCTCACAGACTATACTCCATCTACAATCTCACAGACTATACTCCATATACAATCTCACGGACTATACTCCAATACACTCTAACGGACTATACTGCCACTACACTCTCACGGACTATACTCCATCTACAATCTCACTGACTATACTTTCACTACAATTGCATGGACCCATACTCCACTACACTCTCACAGACTAAACTCCACCTACAATCTCACGGACTATACTCCACCTACACTCTCACAGAATATACTCCACATACAATTTCACGGACTATACTCCACTACACTCTCACGGACTATACTCCACTACACTCTCACGGACTATACTCCACCTACAATCTCACAGACTATACTCCACATACAATCTAACTGACTATACTGCCACTACACTCTCATTGACTATACTCCACTACAATCTCACAGACTATACTCCACTACAATCTCACTGACTATACTGCCACTACAATCTCACGGACTATACTCCACTATACTCTCACGGACTATACTCCACATACAATCTCACGGACTATACTGCCACTACACTCTCACTGACTATACTCCACTACAATCTCACAGACTATACTCCACCTACAATCTCACGGACTATACTCCACTACAATCTCACGGACTATACTGCAACTACAATCTCACGGACTATACTCCACCTACAATCTCACGGACTATACTCCACTACAATCTCACGGACTATACTGCCACTACGCCCTAACTGACTATACTCCACCTACAATCTCACGGACTATACTGCAACTACACTCTCACGGACTATACTGCAACTACAATCTCACGGACTATACTCCACTACACTCTTACAGACTATACTCCACATACACTCTCGCAGACTATACTCCACCTACAATCTCACGGACTATACTCCACTACACTCTCACAGACTATACTCCACCTACAATCTCACTGACTAGACTGCCACTACAATCTCACAGACTACACTCCTCTACAATCTCACTGACTATACTCCACCTACAATCTCACAGACTATACTCCACCTACAATCTCACTGACTATACTGCCACTACTATCTCAGACTGTACTCCTCTACAATCTCACTGACTATACTCCACCTACAATCTCACTGACTATACTCCACCTACAATCTCACTGACTATACTCCACCTACACTCTCACAGACTATACTCCACCTACAATCTCACAGACTATACTCCACCTACACTCTCACAGACTATACTGCCACTACTCTCTCACAGACTATACTCCTCTACAATCTCACTGACTATACTCCACCTACACTCTCACAGACTATACTCCATCTACAATCTCACGGACTCTACTCCACTACACTCTCATGGACTATACTCCACCTACAATCTCACGGACTATACTTCCACTACACTCTCACTGACTATACTCCACCTACAATCTCACGGACTATACTCCACCTACAATCTCACTGACTATACTGCCACATACAATCTCACGGACTATACTCCACTACACTCTCACTGACTATACTCCACCTACAATCTCACTGACTATACTGCCACTACACTCTCACTGACTATACTCCACCTACAATCTCACGGACTATACTCCACCTACAATCTCACTGACTATACTGCCACATACAATCTCACGGACTATACTCCACTACACTCTCACTGACTATACTTCACCTACAATCTCACGGACTATACTCCACTACACTCTCACGGACCCATACTCCACTACAATCTCACGGACTATACTCCACCTACAATCTCACGGACTATACTCCACCTACAATCTCACGGACTATACTCAAATACAATCTCATGGACTATACTCCACAACAATCCACTAATTTTAATAATCCAGCTACCGCATTATGTGTTCAGTGCTGAATAGTTTCGAAGAGAGGTGTGTTTACTGACTGGTAGTTTCACAGCATGAGCTTCAGTGAGGGATAGTCTCACAGTGGAGGATAGTCTCACCGTGAGGGATAGTCTCACAGTGAAGGATAGTCTCACAGCGTGGTGGCGTGTTCAGAGATGGATAGTTTCAAAGCAGTGTGCGTTTAGTGAGGGGTAGTTTTGCAAGCGTGAATTGTTCAGGAATGGATAGAATCAAAGCAATATGTGTTCACTGACGGATAGTTTCACGTGTATTCAGTGGGGAATAGCTTCATAGCGAGACAAATTCAGTATTGTGTGTGGAATCACGGTTAGTAGTTCGGTGGTGGCGAGTAGAGTTTTACGTCGTACTCAAGATTATTTTTCTCATATGACGACGTGCATGCGTGTACTCGCCCAAGCTGGTTTTATAGTGCTTGCTCACTGAGGTACCATGCCACAGGTAAGCATGAATACCCAACGCAGACACATTATACTGACTCCGAGCCAACCAGTCCTTGTTTTACCCATTAATGCCGAGCGCCAGACAGGGACCGACAAATACCATATTTTAACGCATTTTGGTATGACGCGGCCGGAGATCGAACCCGCGACCTTCCGCTCTCCGGGAGGCGGAGGTTTAGTTGCTGTGTATGCACAGGTCAAATATGTATCTGTTGTTCGGTGACACTTTAGTTGTGGTAAATGGTGAAATTTTAACTTTGAGCCATCACGGATCCCGTCAATGAGTATTGTCAGCGCCGGTCTGATCCAGCAGAGATGAGCCATTCAGTTAGCTGTAGGGGATCGAACGTCGCGACAGGCCCGACATTAATATACATCAGATACCTGCACACGGTGAAATGTATAGTGTGGCTACATTAGCAAACGCCTAGAAACCTAGATGTTCACAGTGAAACCAGGAAAATGAAAATGAGGTAATCATAAGTAGTTAACCTACATATGTCTGTGTTTACATGCGTATGTACGTGCGTGCGTGCGTGCGTGTGCGTGTGTTCTCTGCGAGTGATCATCTCAAAGATGAGGTTTCCAGGTTGACTGATGATGATGATGATGATGATGATGATGATGAAGGGTGATCATGTAGAGACCAGCTTCTCACTCGCCAACCACCAAGACCAGCAACAGAGAAGAGTCTCCAATGTTTTGAGAATGACAACAAAATCAGAAATTGGAAAACATAGATTTTTGTTTTACTCTGGTGTATAATAAAATATAGTTACAACATTTCTCAAACAACGAGGTATTCGTACGGTGACGATGTGAACAACTTCATGAGACGGGATGAGAGCACTATGTACAATAATGGGGAGCACCCACGACTGGGGTGCATCCTGAACAATGTCATCCCGGGCTCTCCCGGGATCAATATTATGTCTCGTGCACTGCTTCACACGATAGTAATAGCTGCCATATTCTTGCACCATACACGTTCAGAAACGTTTATGAAAGACCTTCTTAACCCATTCTGGGATTTTCGAGCACTACACTGCTAACGCTGATGCGAGTCCACCACGATGGGAACGTACTGCCCGATAGGAGCGGCTAACCCCCGCGGCAGAAACCGATAGCTTCCTCAAGCTTCTTTCATCTACTTTCGGTTGTCTGTTCTTCTGTTGGGTGGGACAACGCTGTGTTGACATAGGTATTCCTCAAACTAGTGTGACCATGGGTTGAAGAAACCACCTGACTAAACCACCAGGTTCCTGGGCGCAACTTGCACGACATCAGGATTCGACTTTTGCCAGAGGGCTGGTTTCCGGGCTAGACAGACTCACGGCTTCATCAGTACATTCCTTGCAGAACATTCTGTCCTTAGCCTCACACTCGGCACAACCGAATTCTGGCCGCTCTAGGCTTTTCTCAAAGTCCAGAAGTTGCCCCATGAAGGTGAAGTTCGGTGAGATGTTTGGTTTGCACGTCTTCACGTAGTCGTATGCTTCGTTCAGACTCATGGCCTGGCGGGACATCATGTAGGCGACAGTGACGGTGACTGAACGGCTGATACCGGCCAAGCAGTGCACTAGAACACCTTGGTGGTCCCGTCTTGCCTCATCTACAAAACACCAAAAACAACAAACGTCAAAGTCATGATGGGAGAGAAAAGTCAGCAGTTGACATCAAGCACTACCAGAAAATGCCATGAAAACAGAGCACGTGATGAGGCCTGGGGAGGAGATATCATAACCCACCCCAGACTAGCCACCCCCGGGCGTACCCTGAACCTGGCCTGGCCCCAGACTAGCCATCCCCGGGCGTACCCTGAACCTGGCCTGGCCCCAGACTAGCCACCCCTGGGCGTACCCTGAGCCTTTCCTGGCCCCAGACTAGCCACCCCCGGGCGTACCCTGAGCCTGGCCACAGAGCTGGAATGTATGCACACCACATCCCCGGGCGTACCCTGAACCTGGCCTGGCCCCAGACTAGCCACCCCCGGGCGTACCCTGAGCCTGGCCTGGCCCCAGACTAGCCACCCCCGGGCGTACCCTGAGCCTGGCCACAGAGCTGGAATGTATGCACACCACTATAGTTCATATTCCCAAACAATTGGTCGCATTTTTGCCTGACATAAATAACAAGTAAGTGTGATGAGAGAGATTTGTGGATATTTCCGCCACAAAATGAGCGGAAACTGTAATGAATATAAATCGCTGGGAATGAATAAAACCTTTTGCCCTTATCGCAGCGGAAGGAGTTGGCAGGCCAGCCATGGTTTCATTCAACCCGACCTGAATTTCGTGAGTCGAGGCAGGCACGGATCAAGTTTCATTCCCTTGCTGATAAAATGCCGGAATATTTTATCACCTAGCTTGACCTTGACATTGTCCTATTTATTAAACGAAACCAGGCGAAATATTCGAACTGCCCATCCTGACATTTCAAATCTTGGAAATTTCAAAACAGCTTATATTCCGCCGTCCGTAATTCCGGTGTTGTGTCACAGCTATACCCCACCCCACCCGGCCCCGCCTCAGGTAACACCAAATGCGTCCCATAACTCGTACAAGTGCTGTACTATTACGTGGAGAGTCGTGTGGAAAATCCCGTAAACCGCAAGCCTTTGGTATCTCGGCGGTTTCCCTTTAGCCTATACAAACAGGAAACTGCCAATTACGCGCCACAGACCCCCTCCCATCCTGTCAGTCACTTGGGGAAGCAACGGGTCACGTGACATTCCTTCACGTGGAGAGAGAGTGGAGGGGGTCGTGTACGAAAATAACGCGGTGTAAACTAGGTCGCCACTAACCCAGAGCCTGTTCCATACAGTGACAGCTACATTCTGCCCGTTACCCTATACCTGCTACAGCCGGAAATACTCATCAAAAACATGGAGCTCTGTGTGACTTCCTGCGACCTTTGCCCACACAGGACTTTCAGCCGGTCAACGCGCCGGATACTGATCATTTGTAAATTTTATAACAGATGTAAAATATTTTATTGTACATGATTCGGTCTCATAACACTGCCACGTGATGTTTGTCATCATAATAAGCGGATTTGGGTTCCGACATGACCCGGTCAAATAAACAGCTACACTGAGAGCTGGGACAGAGCTATTTATGACGTAATCAGTAAACATCCCCACTATCCCTATCAACCCACGCAACGCCAGCGACACAAGTGCAATGACCCTATCTGTCTGATGCATAACCTATCACGTGATAAATTGTGGTTTCATAAAACATAATCTGTCTATGTCGCTGTTTAATTGAGACGGTTTACGTCAGGGAAGCTGAGTACATACAGCGTTGAGGAGCGATCGCTGAAGGTAATGGCGGCCTGCCCGACTGGGAATCTACAACACCAGTAATGTATTCGTTGTCGTGCGCTCAATTCAGAGCACGCTCGGACCGCGACTTGCGAGAGATCGACCGTGATTTACTGGTTTTCTCGCCCACTCACAATGACCAAGAACTGTTACAAGGCGGCAGGATGTACACGTCAATCTCGCACACTTGCTGTGGGGAACAGGCACCGGGGGGCTCAGCCAAATTCAATAGCGGGTCGAGAAAATCTCCCAAAAATTAACCCAGAGATTGAGAGACGAGCGGTACAAAAGGTGTTACGCTACTATCGAACACACCCACCCCCAACCCCCCACACACAACCGTTGCAATTTGTGTTACAGGTATGATATTTAAAAAATATTCATTTAGATAAAAAAATATAAAGATGACCCCGTGTCCGGATCAACAAATGCCGATCTGTGTACCGGCCCTGAGAAGTCGTCAACGCGCAAGGTCCATATCAGCCTAACTGTGCAACACGAGCGACATGGCTTGAGTTCGGCATATGGCCGCCACAATCTCGCCCTACTTCATGGGTCGAAGGATTGTGGCAGAGCTTCGCGAGCCGGGGAGATTGAATCACACGACAATCACAGAGACACAGACGTAATCGCTTTCCTTGAATGTCAGTGTGTCACTGTACAGAGGATGGGTTCACAGTTAGCGCGGGAACAAGCCAGCTGCTGGAGCTGATCAATAATTGCAGTCTCATGCCGTCCATTCATGGGACGACACAGCACGGGGAAAACGAGCTTCGTGTTTTGGTTTCAATTTCACATAATGAGGACATGCACAATATCGGGCACACACGAGGTTCACTATTGACATGAGTTGTGATTTACTGGTAGTAGTAACTTGTTTGGAACAGACATCGATAAATCAAAATAACCCATTGCGAAGATGATATGATAGTAAATCAGTGAAGCGTCACTTGGCGCGAAAGATCTACGGTTGAACGATCTTGAGTGTTTCGACATGTTTAAAGAGCGAGCGCCGCAGGGGGCGTCGCTTCGCTGTGTGACTCCGTCACATAAAGCCCTCTTTGTGACGTCACATAAGGAAATATTTCACTAAATCTTGGTTGTACTTCTATATATATCTCCTCCCCAACACAACTCGGATATTCTCATGGCACGTACTGAAATATTTAATCCCAGTAGCGACCAACTAGAGCGAGCGGAAGGTATTTATGAAATAGCTTCACTGATTTCACATCAATATTACCGTTTTCATACAAAACAATTCGTATATCATATAAGTAAATCTTCACTCACCGATAAATGCAAGAGCTTGTGGGAAGAACGCCGAGAGATTCTGGGACCAGTGATCGCTGATCGGAATCTGCAGGTATTTAAATGAGGTATCGTTTTCAAACATATTTGGCACGTTGGGGGTGACGTTGAGAATGTATGTGATGCCGTACTTCTTCAGCTGGTTTATGTCCGAGGAGTTTTTGGCGTTGCCAAGATACAGGTGCGGCAAGACCTGCACGGGAAAGGGTGACATGTGGGGGGTATTTTCACAGTCACTCTCGCTCGAGGTACCATACGAGGAGTCTTCCGATATCCGCAGATTTCTCAACCCAAGAATGGTGGATTCCGTGTTTTCTTGCGAGTTACAGTACTCGGGGAAGCGCTCTTCAAACGTTGAAAAACCACCTGAAATAAACACCAGAAATAAATACTATTTATAAATTCTTGCCTGAAAATGGTGTCAGAATCAACATCTCATTGTAATAAAGCTGGTGTTGATCCACGTACCTCACATGCCATTAATGTCAAAACGCCCTTTCCGTGTGTATCAGAGTATGTCAATAAAGGGATAACAGGCAGCTTGGGTTATCCGGGGTAATAAGAATCAGATTCGATTAAGCGCCGCAAGCAATCACTTGGTGTTTGGAAACGTGCGCAAAAGAAGATGACTTATTATTATTATTATTTCATTGAGAAGCATACATAAATTCTAAATAATGGAAACGTGACCCAATCATGTGTAAACCGCACAATGACTACAACTGTTTATGTTATATCATTGTAGTAAACATCACGCGTTATGTGAAACACAATCACAACCTGGTATACCGCGATCAATACACGGGAAACACGTGCAGTCTGTCTGGCAATTCAAAAGCGTCAATATTGACACCCAAAACAACATTACCATATTATGCAGCATCGCTGACAAACCAAAAAAATGTCAGAGCTGTCGTAAAAAATCACTTACCGAGTAAAAACGAAGCTCGGCAGCCATCTTGACGCAACTTCTTAACCAGTAGGTTGATTGTGCTTGAAGGGTTAGCGTTGAGATCCGTAGAACACTCGTCGTATAACACAATCAAATGAGTCTTACAACACTTATTAAACCGCTCCTTGGCTTCGTTCTTCTGAATGACGGTCGCAATCTGTAGCGTTCCTTTCTTTAGCCGTTTGAACATGAGACTGGGCAAAGTGACATTGATGGAGCCAGCTACGTGAGACCGAATGTAGTCTGCTTGACACCGACAATCCAGCAGCAACACTTTCTCGCCATTTCTCATCTCATCGCATAGAATCTCCGGACTACAGAAGTCGCCGATATCACTGCTCATGCTGTTGAACACTTCCAAGCAAGGCATTAGAGCTGAGTAGAGTACCTGTATAATCCGCTTCCCCGAGGAAACTAGTCGGCGGCGAGTGAGAGGAATCAACTACGCCGTGATTGAGAGAATCACACACTAAACAATGGGTGTATGTTTATAGTATCCGTTACGACATGTATCCCGTACTACTGTCACCCCGTTTGTATACAGGCGAAGCGGTCTTTCCTTACGTTAGATTTCACTTCAGTTCGTTCCACATACAACCTGTCTTCCTTACTGCCAGGCTGCGTTCTCTCCTCAGTCTAGTTGTCTTCAATTTATGCTGAGCCCTCTCGCTCGGAGAGGTAAACAATAATTCATCTCCTTCCAGCTCGACCAATCACAGTACAGCATCGTGCTCCAATCAGCACACAAGCCACGCCTCCCTCGGCGCCCGTATATGGCGATCATTATGAATTAGTCCACCGTTGGGCGCTATATTTAGATCTCATGCGGTCATTGCACAACATACTATGTTTAGAGACACCGAATACTCACGTCACTTCCGTTTTGGCACAGCGCCAAATGTGTCGACCTTTGTGAATGATACGACAAGCATTGAGAGGTAGATTCATTCAGCGAGGCGTCGAGAAACCACAGGCTGACCTTCTTCCTCTCTGCCCCGTTCGTCTATATGAAAAAAGAAAACGTTTTAGGGACGATTCGACTTTTCTGAACAACCGCTGTTCTCACAACAACCGGTCTTCAAGCGAACATCATATCATGAATATATGTGATTAGAAAAGTGTATTCGGAATGTTTCTATATGTTTCTTATATTAATGGAATCTTTGTCATAATCTGTTTTTTTCCCCAAAGCGGCATTTCACGGGTATAATGTTAGTGACTGTGTAACCCCTAACGTGAAGGTATCTTACGTCATTTAGAGTCAGCATAGCAAAATGACAGAATATACGTTATAGAGACGTGAGACTAGAATTGATGACGGACCTGGTGAGACGTGGTATATATTTATACCTGACGTGGTGATCAGTATAATCTGTACTTCTTACTCCCCGGGCGTGTTATACTGTGTAACTGTACACCAGCAGGACATCGTACAGAGATACATTTAGACCAGGAATACTGGATAGGTTTCATTTCCTACCTCACTACTAATTTAATATCGGTTTTGATGTGAGGAAGTATGATGACATTTGATGTTACACAAACCATACCACACATCTCATTCAATATCGGGTTAATACCATGACATATTATTGCCTATTGTGTTGCACAAAGCTTACAACACACACCATCCATTGTCGGTTTTGATTTAAGAAACTATTCTTATACATGACGTCACACAAAACTTACCACACATCTAATTCAATATCGGTTTTAAAATCACGAAATATTATTGCTAATCATATTACACAAAACGAACTACTTATATGACTGAATATCGATTTTGATATGAGTAATTATTATTATTATGTGTGATTTTATATATATATATTATATCTAAGTCAATAACGGTTTTGATCACTGGAATTATAGATCTATAGGATTTTACACACAAAAGCATAATTTTGAAGAAAACACGTTATACTGTTCATAATATATCCGGTCACAATGACTACTCTGTTAATCGTTTTCACGTTCATGGCACGTTAACAAATAAAAGACACGCGTACAAGACACGGTAGTGAATGTGTTATAACCCTCGTCACGTACAAGACACGGTAGTGAATGTGTTACAACCCTCGTCACGTACAAGACACGGTAGTGAATGTGTTATAACCCTCGTCACGTACAAGACACGGTAGTGAATGTGTTACAACCCTCGTCACGTACAAGACACGGTAGTGAATGTGTTACAACCCTCGTCACGTACAAGACACGGTAGTGAATGTGTTATAACCCTCGTCACGTACAAGACACGGTAGTGAATATGTTACAACCATCGTCACGTACAAGACACGGTAGTGAATGTGTTACAACCCTCGTCACGTACAAGACACGGTAGTGAATGTGTTATAACCCTCGTCACGTACAAGACACGGTAGTGAATGTGTTATAACCCTCGTCACGTACAAGACACGGTAGTGAATGTGTTACAACCATCGTCACGTACAAGACACGGTAGTGAATGTGTTACAACCCTCGTCACGTACAAGACACGGTAGTGAATGTGTTACAACCCCGTCACGTACAAGACACGGTAGTGCATGTGGTATAACCCTCGTCACGTACAAGACGCGGTACTAAATGTGTTATAACAACCTTCACGTACAAGACACGGTACTAAATATGTTATAACAATCTTCAGTTACAAGACACGGTACTGAATGTGTTATAACAACCCTCAATTACAGGACATGGTACCGAATGTGTTATAACATCCTTCAGTCACAAGAAATGGTACTGAATGTGTTATAACCGTCTCGTGGACAATACACGTCACTGAATGTAATATAACAACCTTCACTTACAACACTCGGACTAAATTTGTTATAACACACTACTGTCTCTTGTACGTGGAGACGGAGACAACATGTGTTGTAACTGATGATTGTTATAACATATTCAGCACCATGTCTCGTAACTGAAGATTGTTATAACATATTCAGCACCATGTCTTGTAACTGAAGATTGTTATAACATATTCGGCACCGTGTCTTGTAACTGAAGATTGTTATAACTTATACAGCACCATGTCTTGTAACTGAAGATTGTTATAACATATTCAGCACCATGTCTTGTAACTGAAGATTGTTATAACATATTCAGCACCGTGTCTTGTAACTGAAGATTGTTATAACTTATACAGCACCATGTCTTGTAACTGAAGATTGTTATAACATATTCAGAACCGTGTCTTGTAACTGAAGGTTGTTATAACATATTCAGCACCATGTATTGTAACTGAAGATTGTTATAACATATTCAGCTCCGTGTCTTGTAACTGAAGATTGTTATAACATATTCAGCACCGTGTCTTGTAACTGAAGATTGTTATAACAAATTCAGCACCATGTATTGTAACTGAAGTTTGTTATAACACATTTTACACCGTGTATTGTCCACGAGACGGTTATAACACTTTCAGTAACATTTCTTGTCACATTTAGTACCGAGTCTTGTAAGTGAAGTTTGTTATAACACATTCAGTACCGTGTATTGTCCATGAGGCGGTTATAACACATTCAATATCATGTCCTGTAATTGAAAAATGTTATAACGCATTCAGTACCATGTATTGTACGTGAAGGTTGTTATAACCTGATTTTATTATGTAGAATTTGTACATAACATGTACATGTTATTTTGATATCTGACGACCACGAGAAACTTGTCTAATCATGAATCGATTACTATCCTACTTGTTTGGTCTCAAAGAAACCTCTTAAAGCTGACGTGTGAACATATATTACACGGGTCTGCTCCTCCCACACACTGTGACCCTCTAGCTGGGTGTCTGGTAACGACCCACGTCAAGTCTGGCGGGGGTGGGGTGTAGGCCCGTAGACACAACACCCCTTAATGTGGAAGGCCCTACCTTGAGCCGGATGGGAGTGAGTGAGGTTTTACGTCGCTTCTAGCTGCGTTCCATCCATGTCACTCACACAGGACATTCACATCGTAATCAAGTGGAGAATCGAACCCGGACCCTCGCTCTGGTTATGGACGGTGCTACCCAGCGACCTTTATTAAGACAGGTTGTGGCTGGCGGTGCCTAGTGTTTGGGTAATGGAATACATGAGGGTTTATTGTGTTTGGCATGTGAGCTGAATCTTATACACGATAAATAAGGTATGTCAAACTATAAAGCTTGTGTAGTTGTAATTCTAGGTACAGTTGCCACTGCAGTAGGCTCGATCTACTGACTATACCATGACTGGTTTTAGTCTATCGTGGTATATATATTCAGCTGTGGTTTATTTCTCCTATTATTTGTTAGTATATGTCTGGTAATGACTCAATAATGTTTCCAGAACAGATGCGTGAGTTGAAGAGATTGTTGGTAGTGTGTCTCTAGACTATAGCCAGAGTTCAAGAGTTTGTTGGTAGTGTGTCTCTAGACTATAGCCAGAGTTGAAGAGTTTGTTGGTAGTACGTCTCTAGACTATAGCCAGAGTTGACGAGTTTCTTGGTAGTGTGTCTCTAGACTATAGCCAGAGTTGAAGAGTTTGGTAGTAGTGTGTCTCTAGACTATAGCCAGAGTTGAAGACTTTGTTGGTAGTGTGTCTCTAGACTACAGTCAGAGTTGAAGAGATTGTTGGTAGTGTATCTCTAGACTATAGTCAGAGTTGAAGAGTTTGTTGGTAGTGTGTCTCTAGACTATAGCCAGAGTTGACGAGTTTGTTGGTAGTGTGTCTCTAGACAATAGCCAGAGTTGAAGAGTTTGGTAGTAGTATGTCTCTAGACTATAGCCAGAGTTGACGAGTTTGTTGGTAGTGTGTCTCTAGACTATAGCCAGAGTTGACGAGTTTGGTAGTAGTATGTCTCTAGACTATAGCCAGAGTTGAAGGGTTTGTTGGTAGTATGTCTCTAGACTAAAGCCAGAGTTGAAGAGTTTGGTAGTAGTATGTCTCTAGACTATAGCCAGAGTTGAAGAGTTTGTTGGTAGTGTGTCACTAGACTATAGCCAGAGTTGAAGTGTTTGTTGGTAGTGTGTCTCTAGACTATAGCCAGAGTTGAAGAGTTTGTTGGTAGTGTGTCTCTAGACTAAAGCCAGAGTTGAAGAGTTTGGTAGTAGTATGTCTCTAGACTATAGCCAGAGTTGAAGAGTTTGTTGGTAGTGTGTCTCTAGACTATAGCCAGAGTTGAAGAGTTTGTTGGTAGTGTGTCTCTAGACTATAGCCAGAGTTGATGAGTTTGTTGGTAGTGTGTCTCTAGACTATAGCCAGAGTTGATGAGTTTGTTGGTAGTGTGTCTCTAGACTATAGCCAGAGTTGAAGAGTTTGTTAGTAGTATGTCTCTAGACTATAGCCAGAGTTGAAGAGTTTGTTGGTAGTGTGTCTCTAGACTATAGCCAGAGTTGAAGAGTTTGGTAGTAGTATGTCTCTAGACTATAGCCAGAGTTGAAGAGTTTGTTGGTAGTATGTCTCTAGACTATAGCCAGAGTTGAAGAGTTTGTTGGTAGTGTGTCTCTAGACTATAGCCAGAGTTGAAGAGTTTGTTAGTAGTGTGTCTCTAGACTATAGCCAGAGTTGAAGAGTTTGTTGGTAGTGTGTCTCTAGACTATAGCCAGAGTTGAAGAGTTTGGTAATAGTATGTCTCTAGACTATAGCCAGAGTTGAAGAGTTTGTTGGTAGTGTGTCTCTAGACTATAGCCAG